GAGGAGGAGGAGGAGGAGGAGGGCCCGCAAGAGGGGGAAAAGCGGAAAGGCAACGGTCCCGTTGAATCTCTTGTCTGGACTCCGGCTCCAAAACCTCCTTTCCCTGGTCGGCTTCAACCCCCTCCCCTCCCCATATTTCTGAGCTATTTACTAGTTGGTCCCTCCACTGGGGGTTTTGTTTTAATTATTATCGACTCGGTAGCACCAAACGCTACTACCAGTTCCTTTATTGAAGTGATCTGGGAGGGGATTCCTCCTCTTTAAGGAGGAGTTCTGCTTGGAACGTGTCAATTCCCCGGCTTCAATAGTTTCCATTTCCCCCCGCCATGTCTCACGTTCATCCCCGGCAGGACCCCATTGTGATGGTCATAGATTTTCACCATGCAAGGTATGTACATATCCGAGAAGGAGAGTAGAGGGGAGTCAATGCGGCAGCGACTTTCTCTGCTTTCTCAAAGGTGGCGAGACCGATCGATTAAGAACAAGCATGTCGGAAACATTCTTGCGAGTGCGCTTGTCCTTTGCGCCGCGGGTGGGCGCAATCCGCACTCAGCCCCTATCTCTCGCTTTTCTCCTTTCGCTATAGTGCACGAATGACAAGCTAATTCTGGACTTTCATCAAACTTGTTTAGAGGCCCTGAAATTGAACTATGCTTCGGTGACGATGGAGGAGACTCGGCCGCGGAGAACGACTGGTCCTTGTTGCCATTTATGGCCTTATCGGACGGAGCGCATTTGTACGACCCGAGCTGGCTTTCCATCCCTAATTCCGTACCCCCGTACAAAATGCTCATTTGAGCTCATACGCATTGCCCACCAGGTCTACCGAGGAGTTCTCTTATTTCACGGTCCGCCGGAAGGAGACTGCGACACAACCTGCCACCTCCCTGTTCGGCATCTCATGCTCTCGACAAATCGACTCCAATATTCTCCTCTACCGACCGCCGGACGTTACAAGGTCAACGGTGCAGAAAGCAGTGGTGGTGATAACGGACAGTCCCCAGAGGCTGGGGCAACTGAGGGAGAAGCTGTCAATCGTTACGTCGGCATGGTTTGCGCAACGGTATGTGAAGCAATATTACCAAGTGCTCCTCCGTCAGTCTGCTCTGGTCTGGAGGCTTCTTAGTGGTGCCACGATCGCTGACACATGCAACAGCGACTTTTCGGATTACGACATATTGAAGGTGCGCTCTCATTCATGTTATTCTATGATCTCTGATTGACATCGGTGTCTAGAAATTTCGAGAAGGCCTGGTTATCAGCTTGAAGAAAGATGAGGACATGAAGGATCAGAATCTGGGTAAGACGATTGAGACTGATTGTATAGTCGACCTGGGCTTACGCAAGTGTGAAGGGCTTTCCCTGCGGGAAATGATTCATGAATTCAAGCATCAGACGCTCGTCCTGTTCAAAGCTCTGCTTCTGCAACCGAAGGTACGTTCATTCTGCTCAGAAAGGACTCGGCTTACCCGACACAGATGCTTTTCTTTGGGACCAAGTGTGAGCGGTTGTGCATGATACAATTTTCTCTCATCTCGTTGATACCGGGTCTGATGAGTCGCTTGCAAGACTCTGCTGATCCAGCTTTTGACACCTATGCACAGACAGTGGAGAAGCCCACTTCTCTGAAAACAAGTGACAGAAGCTCCTGTATGCTGTCGGCCCCGCTTATTTGTGATTTATGCTGAACCCTGCAGTGCTGGCATACATGGGACTACCCCTACAGATTTTCGGCAAGGTGCGTATATCTTCAACTGATTACCCTGGACGATCTAACTTCTCGCAGGGAAGCATGTTCGGACCATACACCCCGTTGCAGCAACTGGATCTGCTGGCGGATCACGGAACCAAGTCATATGTTGTTGGATCCACAAACTCTTTATTGCTGCAGCAAAAAGATCGCTATAGCGATATCTTGGTCAATGTCAGATTATTGTACCATACCATTCCAGTTGTGTTGCTGATGTTATGCGCAGCTTGACGAAGACACTCTTACCATCAGCTCACCGTCTCTCCGAAATGCTCTTACTCTCTCTGTCGCGGATAGGCGCTGGATCGACCTTCTCACCCAAATCATTAATGAAACCTGGGATGATGCACATCCTCAGCAGCCCAAAACGCATGGCTACATGGGTTCCGAAGAATTTATCAGGCTCCAGTTTGAGGAGTATCTCTTGGCGTTGCTCTCCTGTATGCAATATCACGAGGAGCTTAGCTCTTCCACTACTGGTGAGCCAGGCGGAAGAAGCCGTGCTCAGCTGGAAGCTTACAACATCGAGGGCGACCCGGCGCTAGAGTTCAACGCCGAATTCTTAGCGCAGTGGAGTAACACACCCAATTATTCATTGTTCAAGCGCCTTACCTCGGATGCGCTTTTGTTTTCAATTGTGGAGCCTCGTCACCCGTGTGCAGGGGGTCTGACAATCGACGACGTTCAACGACGTGTAACCCAACAGGTTGCCGAGCTGCACCTAGATGAGCGCGTGCGGGAAGGCCGCGAGGCTCTGAACAGACACCTTTCGACGGGCCAGAAGAAAGTCAGTGCTGCATTCAACAGCTTCTGGGCGGACATCGAATCCATGAGGGAAGCCCAGCGAAAGAAGACCGAAGAGAGAACGCCACCTTCGCAACGATCGTCACTGGACAGGGAATTTAGAAACTCGCCTCCATTTTCTCCTTCCGATACAGCATCGATCAATTCCACGGGAGGGGCTTCGTGGTTCGCTGGACGTAAGGCCCCCTCGGTGGATATGGCACAAGCACAGGCTTCCGTTAGTGCCGTGAGCCAGAAGGCGGGCGCCTATTTCAGCTCGTGGGGGACATGGGCCAGCGAGAAACGAAAGGAATGGCAGGAAAAGAAGCCCACGCCAACATCACCTATCACGACGTCGCCCTCTGTTCCCACATTGACCTGCAGCACCGAGGCGGGTGAAGCAGACCGAGGTAGACTCTCCATGCAATCACGGCGAAGTGAAGACTTCTCGACATTATCCCGGAGCGGAAGCAGGAGGAAGCGGTGGAGCAACATCCTTCTCCGACGTGAGAGCGGCGAGTTCAGCCGCAAGGATGACCAGACAGGGGATAGTGACGAGCAGGAAACTACGTATTCGAAGTCCCCCTTGTCTCAGGAGGCTCCGGATCATGGTGAGACTCACAGCGAGGCAGTAGTTTGTCAACAAGAGCACACCACTCAGCATGAGGCCGAGAACCAGGGGAATGACATGACCACAGTCACAGATAACACTGTCCATACAACTACGGAGACCCAGACGGATTCCCCGTCCCTGCCGTCCCCTCCTAAGGAAGAACTACATTTGAACACCGATATACACACCGAGAAAGCTGGCCAACCATGATAATCTGCTCCATCGATACGTGGCGACGAGTTCGGTCTCAGGTTCGAATCCAGCCGAACATTTTCATGTCTAATAATATCACCCTTTGCAGATATGCGTGAGTAAATAGGGACTTTTTAATTTTTTTGTTCAACATAATGTCATTATTTACATATTTCTGGGACTCCTGGTTCTCCTGCTCTACCCTCAATCGGAAAGAGAATTGGGCCCCGACAATGGATGTATTTTTACGCACAACGGCTATCGTCAAGCCTAAAGAAACCCCTTCATGAGCACTGACTAGGATAAAGCTTGGTTGAGACTCGGAATACTGCCATCTGCCAATTTGAAGATGACGAAATGCCTGCAAAAACGCAAAACCTATTTATACGTTGCACATATTTACGAATTGCCAATCTGGTACCGTTCACGCATAGACGCACATCGCTCGTCTACTTACCTTTCACTACTTTCAACCTGGTTTGCGGGGGTTCCTCCATATGTCAACGACTGATGAGAAAGACAAATCAAAAAGGGGGCGAAGAATATGTTCCGGCTAGCATCTGCTCCTCCACAAGCTGCAAAACTGGCTGACCTAGATTGTTGAATCGCTTGAGACTACGTATCGCCTCCGTGAGGTCCTGCAACGGCTTCATGTCGGAATCACCGGGCTTTTGGAACATGATCAAAAACTGAACACATACTGACAAAGGAATCATTGTCAGAGGGTGGTCCTGGAGGGTCAGCGCTGTAACAGCTCGAGGGATGATAGGCCTCACTTTCAAAGAGTTCAAATTACAAAGCCGATTTGTTAAGTCGACAATATCCTGCGCAGCTGCCAAAGATTGCTTCTTGTACTCTCGCAACAGTTCATCCTCATCCTCGCCCGGGAGAACTTCAAAGGCCATAGTCTGATATAGATGAAGAATGATCGCTCGCCACATGAGATTCACAAATAGAAGCATAGGGTCCGCCTGGGGCATATCGCCTGGGTACCGCGACGCGAACGCCTCTTTGCGCCGCACCAGGATCGAGTTGATCCCTTGATGTCGCTTTCGAAAGTCTTCCGTGGCGTCGTAGTAAATGTCGCGCACGAGGAGTTGGTGGCGGTGCGAGAGCGCACGGCCTCCAATTGTCGCAGCGACAATGCATTCGGTGAAGCTCGAGACCGCTGCAGGGTCTGTGACTGTCAGAGCCTCAGGAAGGAACCCCATCAAGATTGGTTGATCATTCTGGAAATTTCCTTCGGGCGCTGGCAGGCGGATGGCCACCTGGGCTCAATTAGTTCCGCTTTTCCCCTTGAAGTTGGGTTAGGTCGACGCCACTTACGCGTTCACTGAAGGTCAACGGCGACCCCGTCCGCATGCTCACGCAGCGGTCCAAACAGTAAGCCATCCAGAAAGTTCGGCGCTTTTGCTCCGACTCGATCCAGTCTCTCTGTCAGTACGTGAGATCCGTTCCGTCAAGGCTATTGAGCCAGTTCAGCCGAATCAGCCGAAATGCTCGTCCAGCGCTGATCCAGCTCCGGCGCAAGTCAACATCCATGAGCTCATAGACGGCAAGCAGGAGCCATCCTTGCACCTGCTCGAGCTCTGTCGAGGGCATGGCTGCGGGGTGGGAATCCAGCGCCTCTAATTTTCGCCTTGCGTTTTGATACAAGGAGCCACCGATGCTCTGGTAGTGCGCGGAGACCGAGGCGGCGAGAGTCCATGTAGCATGCTGTAGGCAAGACTGTGCCTCTGTTTTGAACGGCAGCCGCCGCCAGTCGAAGTAGCGACGCTGGTGCTGAATAGGCATAAAGCTCTGGACTCGATCGAAGTACAGTTGATCCCTGTGCCTCGTTAGATGGTCATTTGGGATTTGAGATTCGAGGACTGACAAGTCTGCTTGCATCAACTTTGATAGGTGGACCTCACAGACATCCTCCGATGCTGATCTCGGCACTGAACTAGGATCTAGACCTGGGATGGACATCTCGTCTCCAGCACTGGACAGTTGGCCTGGTGGGGATATGGAAGGCACTGGCGTTGGGACATCTCCTAACAAAGAACCGGGCAGGTTCTCTGCCGCCAAGCCCGAGTACGAATCCTCCACGATTTGGCTTCCCAAGATAGGTATCTCCCACGCTGACAGATCAACCTGCTCATCCAGCAGCTGGGTCTCTGGCGGCTGCACCTCTGGAGGAGTCACCGTGCTTTGACCTTGACTCTGAAGTAGGATGTTCTCCAGAGCGGCTGGGAGATGTTAACAACACTCTCTCGAGAGTTCAACCTCGTACTCACCGACTCTCGCTTGCAGCAACTTGAGATATCCGCGCTTGGGGCCTCGTGGCGATCGCGCGGTGATCACTAAACAATCGACGCCCGAAGCCTGGCACATGCCGCACTGCGGCTGACGGCGATCACAACGGAGCTTCCGCCGTCGACATTCCTCACACGCTGCTCCGGGCTTCTGTCGCTTTCTAGGAGGGCTGTCCCGACTCTCGACGACTTGCGACATGTTGACAAGCTGGAGGTTGGCCAAAGAATTCACATCTAGCGTTGCTGAGCTGATATGAATCCGCGCTGAACCAGTTAGCGTATTGCTCGCGGATGCGTAGTGCTGGGTAGAGTCCCCTCTTAGGGCTATCTTACCGACGATGCTGTGCTACACTTTTATTCTCCGATCTTGCTTGACCCCAGAAACGCGACCGTGTTGCGACGTGCTGCCTTTCTACGTCTGTAAGGACCGGTAACGCATAAGCGCCACGGTTGGTCTCAGGTTCTTCGAATACGGATCATCGATCCGGTGGACGAATTACGACGATCCTCACCTGAGACATTGGTTGGGATAGACTCTTTTCTGGGTTGATGACAACACGAAGCGCGATTAATGCCTTCTGAAGTCGGAATCAATTCGATGGCTGCATATGTGTGAGGCTATGAGGAACATGTCCGCTCTAGCTGTCAGCTGCCTTGTTTATTGGGCTTATTAGAGTTGCGGGTGATGAGGCCGAGTTCTGTGCAGAGATGCCAGATAACTCAACTCACTCTAACAGAACCACCACTTGCGCTGACGCCACTTTCGTCAGGGCCGTGTATGGGAATGGGGCACAAACCACCACAACCGCGCACTTGCCCTTTCTGGGTGAGTTCAACGTCCCTGGATCAGTTCTGTCGAATACCCCACTTAATCTGAGTTGAATAAGCTTAAGGGCTCGGTTTGTCGGTGACTGCCTGTCGTATGCTGGGCCTTGGTGCTTGAACCCTCGTCCTATATTTGGCCGGAGCTTGTTGCCAAGCCAGCCAAACGTGGATGAGGTCTTGCGAATGGAGACGGCATGGCCTCGGGTCTGACACAAGGCTTATGGCACATGTTTGTGAGAAGCTTTCCTTGGTACAGAAGAGGGGTCTCTACACGTGGGCTGTGTGCTGTTCCAGACACCAGAACACCTAAGTTCTTCAGGTTTGAGGCTGAAGGTCTGTGAAACCACCAATTTTTACATTCGACTTCCTGTACGGTTGGTCTGCTGCGTATGGTTTCTTAGGACAGGAGACTCTAGTTGAAGGTCCGTGGTGTGCCCATTGCGTCAAGAATCTGTACGACCTCGCGGTTTGAGTCAGCAACTCTATCATGCCAACGGCTTTTATTGCTTCTATTGATGGGGCTATGGTGTCATAAACTTTTCTTCAACAAAATCCCGACAACACGAATACTGTGGCCAGTCCCGGGGTACATGAGTCCAACAGGCCGGGCGGAGCATATCGCAACAAATGACAAGGCCAATAGGATACGAGGGCAGGTCGGGAACCAGATGAAAACACGCGAGAATCAGTGTTACACAAAACCCGCCGGTTTAGCTCACTCACAGCACGACGACCACCTTTTGTGCGGAGGTGCCCTGGGCCTGCCGATCGACCGCTGCCTGGATGCTGTGCAGACCCTGACCTGCGACGAGGGGCTCCGGGGCGGGGACGAAGGATCCGGCCTTCAGCGCGCGGGGGAGGAAGTCCTCGTAGATTGCCTTACCCACCGCATTGTCCTTCAGCGTGGTCCCAAAGACGCTCTTGACGGTCACGCCATCGGGGGCCTCGAACCCGCCCTTGACCGTGGCCACGAACTTCGACCCCTGCGACCGGCTGACCACTGCCACGGTCATGGGCGTGGCGGCGAACCCAATACAATCCATGGCCCCGGCCAGGGTTCTCCCCTCCAGCCACGCCACGAGATCGTCGACGACGGTGGGGCTGCGGTAGTCGAAGACCCGGCTGGCGCCGAGCCGCGTGGCGTGGTCGAAGTTCCGGGGCGAGGCCGTCGTGACGACCTCGTACCCGGCGGCGACGGCCAACTGGATGGCGTTGCTGCCCACGCTGCCGGCGCCGCCCCAGATCAGCAGCGTTTCTTTGGTGGGGGGCCGGCGTGCTGGCTCCGCGGGATGCTGCAGCGCGAGATGGGTGTCCTGGAACAGGCCGCACGCGGCGGTAGACAGGCCCAGCGGGATCACAGCGGCGGCTTCGTAGGACAGGGTGTCGGGTAGCTCGCTGGCCATGTTGGTTTGGAGGATGGTGTAGGCCTGGAAGGCGTGGTCCTGGTCGCGCTTGGTGGCCATGCCCACGGCCAGCCCGGCCACGCGGTCGCCCGGCTGGAACCGTGTCACTCCGGGCCCGACCTGCACGACTTCCCCGGCGACGTCTTGGCCCAGGATGGTGGGGTATTCCATGGGCCACCACGCTTTGGTCTGCAGGCTCCCGTCGACGGGGTTGATGGCCACGGCGTGGTTGCGGATGAGGATCTCGTTCTCGGCGGGTTGCCAGAGGGGCGCTTCGCGGAGTTGGAAGGGGTGGGCTTTGGGCTCGAGGAGCCAGGCGGCTGTGTTGGTGGTGGTGGTGGTGGTGGTGGTGGTGGAGGATGTTGACATTGTGGGATGAGTGGTGAAGTGAGTGAAGTGGGTGAAGAATAGATTGGGTGAAGCAGTAGAGTGTGAAGGTTAAGGAGATTAGTTTGTGCGTGTATGTGTGTGTGTGTGTGTGTGTGTGTGTGTGTGTAGTAAGTATGCTGTGACTGTATAGAGTCTCGTGACCGTGCAGCATTACCTTATATAGTCGTGGATGCTGTCCATATCTAGTGTATGTCTATAGTCAAGTTGAAGCTGGTTCTCGGTATATTGGCTATCTCCGGTGGACAACTCCGGGGCGGGCGGCGGCGGTGGTGGTGGAGTCTCGGCCTCGGGGTTTTGGGTACGTACGATACGGTACTACGAGTCATTACCTCCGGCGTGCAGTAGTAACCACCCCAACCCAACTAACCCATATTCAGTCAAGCGGGAGCTGTCAGACGGGGAATGCATTGCTTATTCGAGTCCCAACCTCATTTGAAGCATGTATTGAGCATCCAGCTTATTCTTATTCTTCAAGTAGGGCACAGTACATTCAATCCTGAGTTGAGTACAGTACAGTACGTAGCACAAACACACCCAGACATCCAAACAGAAGTACTGTACCTGGCAGTTGCACTTGAGGTCTCAATCCAGCTGGCAAACACCCCCCATTCCCCGTTCCCCATTCCCCATCCGCCCCCAACCCTCGGAGAACAATTATACATCCCAGCAAATCCCCATCTCAGCAGCGTCATAAACCCTAAGAAGCAGAAGCCGTGCCCGAATCCGTAAGAGAAGACCCCTCCCCCCCCCACCAAAACCCGCATCGGCACCACCTCCACCGCCCCCAGATCCCACACCCCGAGTGTCGCATACGGATCCGCCGCCACCATCACCCACACCTCGACCTCGCCCGCGGCCCGGCAGAGATGGATTCTGCCGATGATATTCTGCTGGCCGAGTCGGTCGTCAGCGGTGTACGTGTGGGAGGAGAGCATCGGCCCGCCGAAGGTGATGCGGTGGGCGTCGATGTGGGGGCGGTTGTGCGCGAGGTGCGAGGCGCGGTGCCTTAGGCGGGTGGGCAGGGTGGTCGGGGAGGCGTGGTCTGGGAGGAGGAGGAGGTATTCGTTTAGTTTCTTGTCGTTCTCGCTTGGGGGATTGGGGGGTGGATTTTCTTGGTTCTGATTCTCGTTTGGGGAGGGTGGGTTTGGGTTCGGGTTGGTTGATGGGATGGGGTTTGGGGGTGAGGTGGTGGTGGTGGTGGTGGACATTGTTTTGAGGTTGGGTTGGTTTGGGTTGGTTTGGTGAGGGTGGGTGAGGTGAGTGTGTTTTCTCTGTTTCTTGGAGGATGGAGGTTGAGGAGGGAGGTTGAGGAAGAGGTTGTGGTTGTGGTTGTGGTTGTGGTTAGCTAAGGGTTGGTTCTCTCCTAAGAAACACAATTCCGAAGGGTGGGTTGGCGAGATACTCCGTGGGAGTTTCTCTATCAAGGGCCCGGGGAAAGGCGAAGTTTCTGTTTCCCTCTGCTTCATCCTTGCATTCTTTTTCTGTCAGGGCTGGGCTCTTGGGGCTTATACGCAGATACCTTCGATTGAGCGGGTTGTTGTTCTGTCTTCTATTGGGGGGGTAGGGGGGATGGTATACTGAGTGGTTCCTTTGAAGGGTTATGCTGGGTGGTGGTGGTTATAGATGGATTCAAGCTAGCTTGAGACTTCCCCAATAGAACCAAAGCTACTGAAGCAGCAATGAAATCCACCATCCCCACCGTCGACATCGCCCCCTGGCTAAACCCCCATGTCTCCGAGTCCGCCCGCCAGCACGTCGTCGCCGCCATGCGCGACGACGCCTGCACCACCTACGGCTTCTTCAACCTCATCGGCCACGGCGTCGCCCCCGCTCAGCGCCAGGAGATCCTCGACTGCGCCAAGCTCTTCTTCACCCTGCCCGAAGACGAGAAGATGAAGGTCTGGATCGGCAACTCCGTGGGTCGCTCGTTCCGGGGGTACGAGCCCCCCGGCATCCAGACGCACCAGGAGGGGCTGTTGCCGGACACCAAGGAGGTAAACACAGCCCTTCGGCATCCCGACTGCCTCGATCCTCTTTTCCTGCTTTCCCCCCTGACTATCTTGATATTGAGACTCACTGACAGACGCTAGTGCTTCATCGTCGGCCACGAAGTCCCCGCCACCGACCCAGAAAGCGGCACCTTCTCCACCGGCCCCAACCTCTGGCCCGCCGCGGAGGGCCATCGGTATAGTGTCCCGTTCTTTTTGAATGGGCAGTTGGGGTTGCGGTGTAAGGCGTTGGATGGGTCCGGGGTTGAGACGGTGGTGGGGGAGCATATTCGCGGCAGGTTGATTGAGACGATGGGAGTGACGGGGGAGAGGTTGAGGTAGATTTGTGGTGGTTGGGGGTATTCAACATACTGTATGAGGGAAAAGGTTGAGGTTATAGTAAAGTACGATACTAGTTGGGACGTACTTAAATTAGCTGCGATGATTGGAAATTATTAGTGACTGATACAAGTGTTTTGCAATCAGTTATATTATTGGTTTGAGGATGCGAGTCTGGACTGAATCTGGTTGCAGGATAATCAGACTGGAGGAGGAGGAGGAGGAGGAGGAGGAGGAGGAGGAGGTGGTGGTGGTGGTAGTAGCAGTAGCAGTAGCAGTAGTAGTAGATTTCTGAATGAGAATAAGGGTGGACAGGGCCCAGTGCACTGTGAGCGCCCAGCCGCGGCCTTAGTCCGGGTCGTCCGCGGCGGAGTCCCGCTCGTAGATCTCGAAGGGGATCTGCTGTTTTTGCAGCGCTTGGGCGAGGGTGAGGCCGACCATGCCTGCGCCGATGATGATGATGGGTGGGTTGGACCTGGGGGCATGTGGGGGGATACTGGGGTGGGATGCGACGGTCTGGGGATCGGTGGAGATCCACTTGAGGAGGTAGGTTAGGATGGATTGGAGCATCTTGATGGCGTCTAGGGCTTGCAATTGAGATGTGACTGGATCATAACTGTGTGCTCTGGGCTATATAATTGTCGTCTCTGGAGAGTACAGTACAGTACTTCGCGATGCAGTCGATGCAGTAAGGGCAACAGCATCTACTGACTGTGCCATGCAATCTGTGAGCCGCTCGAGAACCTCGTACAAGTTAGCCTTCAGCTCCTCGGAGTAAACTTCCCGCTCGGAATAACAAGACACAAGTTGTACAGCAACGCAGCCCTCAACCCCCTCAATCCAATCCAACCCAATTCAACCCCAAAATGCCTCCCACCAAAAACGACTACCTAATCCGCACCCCGGTGCACCGCACCCTCACCCAGGCCGAAGCACAACGCCTCCGCCGCGACACCCGCGCCGCGCACCTGGCCTACGCGCGGCCGCTGATCGACGCCGGGGTGTTGGTGTGGGGCGGTCCGTCGCTGGCCCGGCATCTTGCGGATGGTGAGGAGGAAGAGGTGACGGGCAGTGTGATGTGCGTTCGAACGGAGAGCGCGGAGGAGGTGAGGCGGTTGGTTGCGGGGGATCCGTTTGCCGAGTGTGGGTTGTGGGATGTAGGTGGTGCCGTGGTGGTGGCGATGAGGTGTGTTGTTGGTGGTGGTTGTGGTTGTGGTTAGGGGTTGGATGTTATTTTGG